GAAACTGAGGGATATATTCAGATTTCAACACAGTGGATGTGTCATCCAAATCTCTCCACCATAACCTAGCAGCAGGATTAAACGCTCTAGAAACTTTATGTTCTCAACTATCCATAAATATATCCGCTACTATTGGGGATACTGGTGATTCCATTGTCACCCTTTCCGATTTTTTTATAGTTTATCTTGAAATTTGAATACAGTGGAGGTTAGGCATAACTGAACAGCTAATGTGATTTCATCAACCGAGAGATTAGTCCCACTTTTGAGTTCAAGATCAATGTTAAGTTCATTCATAACTGCCTCCAGAGCTGTATTAATGAAAATATTGGCATACAAACTGGCTGTGTCAGAACTAATCACTTTTTCATCATTTTCCAACTGAATTTCCTCAGTCTGCTGTTTCATAACATGGGAATAGTTAGCCTGAAGTTTGAACTATCTCTAATGGGGCATAATATTAGTGCCAAGCATTTGAATACCTCGTATATCGGAGTGTTCCTTAAGTCAACTATTGGCCTAATAGGATACACCATACATTCTACTAGGATTATTAATCTTTAGAGCTCTAGAAAGCTTGAAGAATGACAAAACTTACCTCAAGTGTCTGTGGATATTCACAAATTGTTTTTATAAATGTAGCGTTTTTTCTAAGTTAAAGGAAGATCACAATGTGTCGCTTTACTTTGATTCTAGGTGAAGTGACTTATTTCTGCCTGCCATATAGCCTTAGCATTAACAGAGAGAACGAGATGGCATTCCCCCTGAAGTACTGAAAACAGTCGTGCAGGCTGTAGCAGATATGCTGACGCGATTATTGCCAAAGGCTTGGAAGGAAGGCTACCTTGTCAAGCTTCCAAGAAAGGCCTACTTTCGCCTCTGCGAGAACTGGTGTGGAATAATGCTCTTGTTCAGGCCAAGTAAAATACTAAGTTGCATCATCCTGAAGAGAGTAAAGGATGCACTGCATGCAGAACATGGCCACTCCAGAACAACCTGGATTCAGGGAAGGCAAACCATGTGCTCATCGAATTGTAACTTTACACATCATTGTCTAATAGAGCAAAGAATATCAGTCAAACCCGTACCTACCTCAGCTTCATCAACTTCGGAAAGGTCTTCACCAAATGCCATTGACAGAGAAGTGATTTGGAAACTACTTTAGCACTGTGGAGTGAGGTACCCCAAATACTTATCAACCTTATTCAACCACAGCTATATGACAGTGGCGGGTGTGAGTTGATCCACAACGGGAAACTCAGTGAGGCGTTTGAAGTGAATACAGGAGTAAGACATGCTGGTTACTTGCCAATTATCACCAAGGATGATATTCTTAATTGTGGTGGACTGGGTTATGCGTCAGACTAGGCGCGTTAGGAGTGAGAAGGCACGAATATGTTGAACAGACGAGAAGACCCTAGAAGATCTGAACTCCACTCGTTATTGATTTATGTTTAATGTCACACAAACTCGAAGACTTACAGGCGAAAACTGGCAACAAACTGGCTCACGAGTCTGGCTGGCTAGTAGGACTTCAGGTGAAGATGGAGGTGATGAAGATAGCCAACCAACAGCAACAACAACAATAACCAGCACCAGTCACCATCAACGCGAGAGATTTAACAGAGGTTACTTCCTTCAATTATCTGGCTAAGAAACATCGTTTCAACTACAGGCCGTTGGCATGAATGAGGACGTGAAAACCAGAATCGGAAATGCAAGACACACCCTCATCACTGTGAAATCAGTTTGTAAATCTTCTGCACTCCACGTCAGCATCACAAACAACAAGATTCGGATTTTCGACAGAACTGTGAAGTCACTTCTTCTATATGGGTCAGAAAGTTGGCTCGCATGTCATGAAAAGGATTTCCAACAGGTTGCACACTTTTATCAATAACTGTCATATTGAAGATCAGATTGCGAGAAATAATCGGTAACAAGAAAATATCGGAACAAACTAACCAAAAACCTAACACTCAAAAATTATGCAGAAGGAAATGGAGATGGAGTGGGTACACTCTGAGGAGACCGTCGAATGACATTGGCCGCCATGCAGGCCATAGCTCACGTGGAGTCCGATTAGAAAACGACGAGTTGGGCGTGTGCTCGAGGGTGACATGGAGGAGATCGTACAAGGAGGAGATGAGAGATTATGAGCAGTTTTGGACCCAACTGAAGAGGACAGCAGCAAATAGAGCAAAGTGGAGGTGTATTAGATGGTTGGAGGCAATCGGCAGGAAGCCTTGGACCTAGGTTTCATGCTAGTTGGCACTCATCAGCAAGGAGTATCTGCAACCTTAGTTTACTCGAATAAATATGGGACACCATATTAATCAGCCTTGGGCGTTTATTATTATTATCATGCACTCCTTGTGCTTCAAGTGGAGTATATGGCGTCGAATCATTCTAATACATCTGAAAAAACCGCACAAGATAATGAGAAGGCTTTTCAATAGTTCAATTTTTCTAAAGACACATATTTATTCTGTGATATTTAACTAAGTCTAAGAATTCACAAACTGATATCTCAGCCCACAGATTTTCTATGGCACTTTATTTGACTTAGAAAACTTATCCGTACATATAATTCATAAATAGTTTGTATTATTTCAGCCTAAACATTTTTTCATCACATTTTTATCTTTGATAGTGCATAAATATATATATATATGTGCGTCCGTGGCACAGTGGTAAGGACGCTCGCCGACCATGCACATGGTCCGGGGTTCGATCCCCTACCGACGCACACCCGATATCAGTGGTCGGCCTGCAAAATTTGGGTCACCGATATCACATGCTGAAAATTCCATACTTGTACCAAAAATACTGTGTGGTTTCAAGCTATAATCAAAACACTAAAGAAATAAAATATATATATATTCTCATTTAACTAACCAAGAGAATTTAGTCTGCGGCAAAACCAATAACTAGAGGCATAGTGTTGGTTACTCCCAAGTGACCAATCAATCTATCCATTATTGTCCTAATATGAGGTTAATCGTGAGTGCCTATGACTGTAGCCCTGGTTGACGCAGATTCGAATCTCAGAGGAAATAAGAGTCCCTACGAGATTGCAGATACATCTTGCTGACGAGTGCCGACCAGCCCCAAAACCTCAGTCCAGGGTGTTCCCGGCGCTCTTCACCGGGTTGACTCTCCATTGGATGACAGTCTAGGGGGAGATGGCTAAACCCTGATTCCAAACCTTCAACGACTGGCGTATGAACCTCACTGGAGCTCACCGGTAGACGTATGGACAAAGGGCTTGTTGGATGTCCTGGATATCTGGCCCCATTCAAAAAGGCGTATGAACCGAACTCCGGTCACCGGCTGCCAATGGATAGTGGAATCCCTACTCCACTCCTACTGCCTTGTAGGTCACACTTGGTTGTGTAAAGGCTAGAGCTGCACTCTCAAACAAAAGGCCGAGCGATTCTGGAGACATCACTCGTACCAAATTCCCATGAAACTTCATGAACTCTCTTTCACCGCGCCTCGGCAGCGATGATTCGAGATGTTCATGAAGCCGGCTCATCCTCCCGTAGGAGATAGCCGAAGTAAAGTAAAGTAAAGCAAGTAAGTTCCCTACTCACTGCCTTCAACCATCTCATTTGTCTGTGTGATTTTGATAGCACTGTAGTCATCAGAAGCCAACAGTAACTCTACAATTACAAGCTTAGAAGTCATTTCTTAAAAAAATCTGTTTTATTTCAAATCATAGTTGAAAAGGTAGGTTTATGTGAAAAAAGATTACATAATCAATTAAAAAAAAGAAGTATCTCGTCACTTTTGATTCCTAAGTTTACATTGTATAATAAATTTGGACAAAGAAGGCAGAGAGTGGGAGTGAGAGAGAGACTGGGATCTGTCTTTAAGAGAATATTCAAGAGAATTTGTTTATCTCGAAGGTGATCATTACTTCTATAACAAAGAAAGCAAACACCATCGACTACATAATGCGTATTACAAACAGAGTTTAGGAAACACATTCCGACTTTATACAAATCACTGTCAACTGAATGCATACATCAGTTTAGACAAAATTGACATTGGATTTATTAGGATTGCTTGCCATTGGTGCGGTAGGAGCGATCATGGAATTATTATCTTGTAATTCAGAAAAACCATAATGTTTCTCAGTTATATCTTTGCCACTCCTTAATAATTCCAGTCGATTCTCTCGTTCCGATCGGGCGTTTTGATAATTAATAAACATATGCCACCATTGATTTAAAATTTCTGCTGTCACTACATCACCAGCATTGTTTCGTATCATGCGTAATAAAAAGAAACCATCATTTTTAACAAATTCTGTGATGAAGTGTTCAATACGCGGATCATCAATGTCAATATTACAACCATCACAGGTTAAACTATGATTTTGATATGCATCTAATATCTGTGAGTGTATTGATATAATTAGATAATTACGAATCTAGGCATTTTGACGATTTTGTAGTGATAAACGTATTAACCATACAAGTCAAGTAATGCTGGTTATAATGCTGACAACAGCAATCCATAACCATAAAAATATGTAAATTTTTTCATTGAACATATTTACAGGCAGTGCACAGATTGCAGTGAATACATTATTCTTAGGACCAAGATGACGAACATGCACTGGACAATAGGTTTGACGTGGAAAGAATTCACTTTCAGTCCATTCATGTCTTGATGTCAGTGTTCCGATTAATCGTTGACCGAAAGAAAATAAATTTCCATGATAACCTAAAAATGTACGTATTATGTTCAACTGGCCGAATAGATTAGTTAAATACAATAGTTTTACAAAGATGTATGCCAGTGATATACAATTTCCCATACGTTTTCCAGCAATCAGTAATGATCCACCAGACATATGTGACATTTTGTGTTGAAGTTGTGCCCATCGACTTGATCGATAATCGAAATGCTGACGTCCTAATCGAAACAGGTGGTAGGCAGATGATTCAACAAATTTTTGACGTTTGGCATTGTCATCAGCTGCATTGGCCTTATACGCCATATCTAAAATCGCTTCTAGATTTCCACCCATTAGATGTGTGGCGAATGTCTGCCAAGCAAAATGAGGTAGAAAGAACAATATTCCCTGGATTGATAAGCAAAATGGAACCCATTGATAGAAGGCTGTAACAAAACAAAAAAGGTAAAACAAAAAACACACGATGAAGTCACGCAAAGTAGAAAATGGTTAAAAAAATTGAGCATTACAGTGGAAAAAGGTTGAAATAAAAATACAGTTATAATTGATGTAAGGATAAAACTTGGGCACTGTGGTAGAGTATAATTCCATTATGCAATAGAAGTGACTCAACGGAAATACCACAGATATGGAAGATATTATTACCACCAGTCAAATCAGAGGGGGATGATAAGTAATGTTAAAATGTATTTCAGTTCATATTATAACATTCTAACAAATTATTTATTTTATTCAAATGTCTAATCAATTTTTACTCAGGTATATAAATGAAGCAAGGAAGTTGTATGAGTAGTACCTTGATATGATTATGAGTGGTAATAAATTGTGCTCGGAACGTGGTCGCATCAGTAAATATTACTGTATAACAACACTGTGTCACTTTCTCAAAATAAAATTTTATCCATAATGAAAAATACAGTTACATCAGTTAGAATTTTCGTAAATCGATAGATAGCAGAAATCAAGTTTATTGTTTATTTAAGCTGTTTTGTAATTCCCGCTGGTTGATTTTACTAGATAGAAATGCTCGGTCTGTGTTGGCATGTCAGCTGCTGCTACGACAGCTCTGATATTGCCTTCAGATTAACATAGTTCTATCTAGTTAATGATGGCTGACAGTGGAGTCCAAGACACGCATCTCATCCTACCTGGAACCCGTCAGCTGGATGTGAGAGGTGGTATTTGCACTGAAATTCGAACCCAGCACTCATTGTTTCAAACATTAAAGCACTCCTCTCCGATACAATGAATCAACTACATGAATAACTTGAAAAAACAACAGCTGACGGCCATTACACATGAGTTAGCCTTTGTGGCTTAGCAGCTTAATGCGTAATGCTTTGGGGTTTAAAATGGTGGATGGTGGCGTCCAGCTCTCAGTGAAAACACCGTTCGCTGCGAATGCAGGTAAATATCCAGATGATGAGTCCTAAACAGAATTCAAAGCGTGTTCTGGATTTCATTACTAGGTATTTTTGATGAAAGCAGTGGTTGAATTTGATGACCATTTTGTTTAAAAGTGCTGTAGAATGAATGCACTCTGAAATTTCATCGACGTTTAGTTTCTTTTTACCTATTTCTAGCAAAATATTTTATTCATATGAAGTGTTAACATCTCACGCATCTGTTAGCCAAATCATTTCCTGGAGATAAAAACACATAAACTGGACTTCATCAAATGAATTACAAATTCCACTTGATCAGCTACTAATCTTTCAGGAAAATTTTCCCATTCGTCTGCGTTCAGAGTGGAACATAAGGCTTCAAGACTTGAAGTTTCAGTAGCAGTGATGTAGTGTAGTGTCCTCTTTTTCAAGGCGTGGAGTGGCCAGCTTCATCTCCCCTTCTTCTCAGATTTGCTATCAGCTATTCAACTAGACGAGATTTAGAAGTGCGTCAGCCATGAAACTGAACTTGGACCTCACGTGTGGTTGTTGAACATCCTACCATTGCACTGCTGACGCAAATTCCGTGTAAAAATGTCTCGTCAAAGTTCTATTAAATCCGTTGACATTGACTTGTCGTGGGTGTTATAGAATAGTGAAGAAGATTTACAGCTTATAGAAGTGATCCTAGTTGTCTTGTGTTCTGTGAATTTAATTAAGTAATCAGTTGGCCATTTTGATTTTAATAAACTATGCTGTCTAGATGGACACGTCATGAATTAGTTGTTCATCTTAAGAAATGAAAAAGTGTGCGTGTGTGTATGTAGATTTTCAAAGTGTATTAGTCAAACAATACTCATGGTGTTCAGAATTTAGTTACAGTGTCAGTGAGTGTAATGAAAATCAGCATTTAAAAGATTTATTCTCACGACTGTCAGTAAGAGAGTGAATCACCTAAAATACCGCTGTTTCAAAATGTTTGAGTTTAAATCCAATGGAGGTGTTTTCAAGGGTTGGTTTAAAGGGATTTGACTGATTCCAGATTAGGTCACGAACTGATGTTACTTAGAGGAGCACTGAAAACTAGGGAGTACTGGACAGCTTTACTACGTCCTAGATAGGGACACTTCAGCAGTACTCACCGGCGACACAAGACTTCAGATTACGAGACAACTCCGATTACCATCTAGTCAGTGTGAGGGAACCCAATGGCCTATGAACTCCAACTTCTACCAGTTGCCGATATATAGCGTCACTATCAGCTAATGTCGTCGGCGACTACCTGTCCTCACACCCTGCTTGGTGAACATCACTGATCTTAGTAAATGAGCATTAGGTTAAGTAGATAATGACATAATAATAATAATAATGGCAAATACTTCGCTACTAGGGAGTGCCACCGACAATTATTCATCTCATCCAACAGCTGTACGACAATGCTGCATGCCAAGTAATCCACAACGGGAAACTTACGGAATCCTTCAAAGTGAGGACAGGAGTAAGACAAGGCTGCCTACTATCGCCAACGATTTTCCTGATTGCGGTATACTGGATAATGCAACCGACAGCAGGCAATGAGGAAACAGGCATAAAATGGACTCACACAAAGAACTTGGAGGATCTGGACTTTGCCGATGATATATGTCTGATTTCCCACAAACTGGAAGATATGCAAGCGAAAAGCAACAAGTTGGCAGAAGAAGCATCCAGAGAAGATAGGAGGGACTTCAGGTGAACATAGAGAAAAGAGAGGTGATGAAGATTCCTGGCCAACACCACCAACAGACAACAAACAGCATAAATGGGAGGAACCTGAAAGAAACACCCCTTTTTTACCTACCTAGGAAGCATCCTTTCAAATACAGGCGGAACTGATGAGGATATCAAAGCAAGAATCGGAAAATCAAGACAAGCTTTCACTACTTTCAAGTCTGTGTGGACGTCAACAACAATCAACATCAAAAACCAAGATCCGGATTTTCAACTCCAATGTGAAGTCAGTCAGTGCTGCTATACGGATCAGAGACTTGCACTGCGCGTCATAAAGAGCATATCAAACAAACTACAGACCTTCATCAACAGTTGTCTTCACTCAATTCAGCTCAAGATCAAATGGCTGGCCAGAAAAGATCAGCAACAGAGCTGGATCTCTGGGAGCGAACCAACACAGCAGGAACCGATTGTGAAACAAATAGGCAGCAAGAAATGGAGATGGATTGGCTGACCACACTCTGAGGGAGCAAACCATCAAGTGACATCACTAGACAAGCCATCGTTCGAGTGGAACCCGAAAGGGAAGCGGCGAGTTGGTCGTCAATGCAAGGGTGACTTGGAGGAGGTCATGTGAAGAGGAGATGAAAACGTGTGGTCAGACCTGCAGCCAGGTGAAGACTCTAGCATAGAACCGAACGCAATGGAGACGCACGGCTGAAGCCCTATGTCCCTCTAGAAATTAAAGGAAACAATAATAATAATATATTTGTCCGAATGGAAAAAAAATGGTGTAATTTACAAGGGGACAACTGACAGATGAAGTTCCAATGATGAACCTGGAGACTTGAAAAACTTGCTTAATGGGAAAAATCTTCACAGAAAGATGTGACAAAAGAAAATAATGACCTCCGACAGCTTCTTTTTTGATGAACTTCTTCATTTCATTTATTTATTTCAAAACAAATTTGGTGCAAAAAACACTCATTTGACAGATAATACGACCTATCAAACTTCATTAGTGCCAAAAACAATGCAATCTGGTAAATATCTAGCAAGGACTATATATATGCCGAACTTTTTATCATTAATCATCTGCACTATGGCTGTCAAAACTCCCCAGACAAGTATATTGATCGATACCAGAAGTGAGTGCAGATCGCTTTTCTACACGTCTCAAACATTATATACTACAGGTACACCGACTACAACAACGTGAAATAAACTAGTCACAATAAAGTGGTTAATTAACTCTCTTTTTTATTCCTCAACGTTCCCAAGGGTACATAGGGGGCTTCAAGCTACATCTTTGAAGTTTCGTTAGTAGTGGCGTTTTATTTTTACGGGATGAGGTTGCTAGCCTCATGCCCCACCTTCCCTCTTTACCAGTCTTATTACTGACTTAGTGAGGTAAAGAAGTGCGTCCATGGCCGGGGATCGAACCTCGGGGCATTCTACTGCTGTGACACCCCGATGCGGTTAATTATCTTATAAAAAAACAATTAAACATTTGATAAAACTTACCAAAACAATGGAAGTAGATATCGTTGGCTGAAATCCGGGACTCGAGTGATAAGGTGAGCAGATGTTCGTGTATCTGAAGTCGAAATGAGCCAACACACAAATAAGAAATACCAAGTGAAGAACGTCTTACCATTAGGTTGAACTGAACTGGTTGATTTCTTATCCTCTTTTCCAGATTCCTTATATTTGTAGTAAAACAGACTGAATACTCTTTTACTGAATTTCAGCTTTCCACAAAAGTAAAGACGTCCACAATCTGTAAACTGGAATAGTATAATATATTCATTAGAAATAGTCTATAAAACTGTTTTAAATGAAATATTAAGGGAAGTCATATATATATATCAGGAGTAATTGCTTCTCTAGAGCTGACTGTCATGTTTCGGTTATTATTATTATTGTTTCCTTTAATTTCTAGAGGAACATAGGGCTTCAGCCGTGCGTCTCCATTGCGTTCGGTTCTCTGCTAGAGTTTTCACCTGGCTGCAAGTCTGACCACACGTTTTCATCTCCTCTTCACATGACCTCCTCCAAGTCACCCTTGCATTGACGACCAACTCGCCGCTTCCCTTTCGGGTTCCACTCGAACGATGGCTTGTCTAGTGATGTCACTTGATGGTTTGCTCCCTCAGAGTGTGGTCAGCCAATCCATCTCCATTTCTTGCTGCCTATTTGTTTCACAATCGGTTCCTGCTGTGTTGGTTCGCTCCCAGAGATCTGATCTTTTCTGGCCATCTGGTCTTGAGCTGAATTGAGTGAAGACAACTGTTGATGACGATCTGTAGTTTGTTTGATATGCTCTTTATGACGCGCAATGCAAGTCTCTGATTCGTATAGTATAGTAATCATTGGCGATAGTAGGCAGACATCTTGTCTTACTCCCGTCTTCGCTTCCAAGGATTCCCTGAGTTTCCCGTTGTGGATTAATTGGAATGCAGCATTGTCGTACAGCTGTTGGATGAGACGCATAATTGACGGTCGCACACTGTAGTAGCGAATTAGTTGCCAAATCACCTCTCGATCGACGCTGTGGAAAGTCTTTTCAAAGTCAATGCAATTCAGATAGAGAGCTGACTGCCATTCCAAGCTCTTTTCAGTGGTGGTCTGTAGTGTTGCGATTCGATCGATGCATGACTTGTTTCTCCTGATTACAGTCTGTTCCAGCCGACGTTTTTCATCCAGGGTGTGTTCCTTTCTCTCCAGGATCATGCGACTTAGTATTTTGCTTGGGATGGACAGGAGCATAATTCCGCGACAGTTCTCACATTGACCTAAGTCTCCTCTCTTCACCAGTTTCAATAGGTATCCTTTCTTTCAATCCGCAGGTACCTTGCGTAATCTAGTTACTGCTTTAACAATGCTTTAGTGATTAATTCAAAATATCCCGCTTCTATTTCTTTTTCCATTCCGCCTTCATATCACAGTTTATAACAACCTTACAGTGAGAATTTAATGAGCATAAGAGCTGTTCATATTTTTCTTTCCATTGCAGTTTCTTTTTGTTTTTATTCCATTTCTTCCTCTACATTTTATGCCCCCTCCCAAGTGACTAACTGTGCTTTTTACCAATTCTTGTGTCTGCAACCTTGTCTGTTGTGGTGTTGTTACCAGAAAACATTACACTGAATACTACTTGCAAATTGGTGTCATTTAGTAGCATACACCGCAAGCCAAGTTAACAACCCCTTAGTAGCACGTCTAAGAGACAAAATATTGATGACAGGAAGTATTAAAATACTCACCGTGGATTCGAAGTAAACCAAAATACTTAAAGTACAAAACTAATTAACAAATGGAACACTTACAGATACAATGTCATCCTTTATTACCCAACTGATTAGAAGATTTTCCAGTTCTTGTGTGAAACTGGCCAATTAAAATATAACATAAAATCATATAGTAGTTACTCATCAGTTTGAAAAGAATCAAATATTACAAAATCTAAGCATAAATAAAATAAATATGCACAGATTGATGAAAACTAATCCTTTTTCAATGCCCACTTTTCTTTTACCGAACGAGATAAATCTCATTTTCGAAATAGAAAGGTGTTTAAGACTATCACTTTATAGGACTGACTGACTGGTTTCAACGCAGAACTTTGCACAGATGTACAGCAGTTCCAGTTGCCACGCACCATCTCTCTCCTTGTAGCACACAAAGCAAGATAAGAGATCGAAAAAGACATTCAAAAGAGAGATAATAAATAGAAGTATCAGTGAGGGAAAAAGAATAGTAATATATGGAAGCACAGTAGATTTTTATTGGATATGATAAATAAACCACAAAGAGTAAATGCATCTGCACTGTGCATTCAGAACGAGGATTTCGAGCCATATCACCAATTGTCTCCAGCCTTCATTGGTTTTTACCATCCCGAGGAACCCAACTAGTCAGGAAGTATGCACCTTTCTACGTGGCTTAAATTAGCTAGTATGGATTTCATTGACTGGTGAAGCCATGTTTCGGTTTGACCACCATTGGCTAGCTGTTTACCAACCTGATCAATCCTATGTCAGCTAACATTGCCCGTCGATTGAGGAAGGAGATGGCTAGGCATGCGTAACACATGTCCTAACCATCTCAATCGGTGTAACTTCACAATCTCATCGACTGATTTCCTCCCATCACCTAGCACTCGAAGGAGGCCTAATCTCAATATAGCTCACTCTATTATACCACTTCGCTTAGGAAATAGGACGCAGACACCTATGACCAAAGACAGCTAGCCTTTTTCTTTCTTCCACTTCCAATAGCCTTGTCTCACAGACATAAAGGAGGACGGAGCGAACTGTGCTGCTGAGGATTACACAAGGCGGTCAGTCGACAGCCAGCCGGATATCACGTCTGCTAGACCAGAGGTGGCGTAAGTTGGCATTTGCGAAACGAGCCGTCTGTATCCGTATCCGTGCTGAGATTTCGCCAGCGATCAACCAGTTGGCGTTGGCTGATGCAACTCCCCAAATAAGTCAAGTGGTCAACACGCTCCACAAACAAACTTCACTCCCTATTTCTAAACTAGGAGTCAGTGTAGTCCAGTCAGTCCTGTAGCATCATCTTACATTTGACAGCACGAGTGAATCTTGCATGCCAAACATTCGCAGATTGCAGCTCCTCAAGGTGTTCAGAAGGCTCTGCATTTTGTCAGCGTCTTCACCTGGGAGGAGGAGGACTATATCATCTGAATATTCCAAGTCAACGACATCATTCCTTCCCTGGTAACAAGTAGATCCCTGAGTCGCTGATTTCTTTTAGTTAATAACTTGTATCCAGTGGTTACATCACTTCAATGCCAATCTATCTAATAAATATAACCAACCATATATCCTACTTAAAGTAGATAGAGTAGAAATACCTCAAAATACTTAAATGTTATGATACTACGACATGCTAACTTACACTTCCCAGTCTGTTACAGCTGTATAGTCTTCAAACGTTTCTCCACTTCTTTCCTACGAAAAAGGACAGTGAATATTTTAGATGAAACATTTCAGGCTTTAAAATAAGAAGTTCAGTGTATTGTCTTTATTTGAAAATTTACCATCAATGAAAACTTACTGTAAATGTACATTTACTCATCGATTCAGTCATATTCTCATCTCTGTTTGTTTTTCACAGATAAATTCTGTAAATCAAAAAAGAATTGAAAAACTCGATTAAACACAAGTTACTAATGGATGTAACAGACACACAGTATTAACGTGCTTTACAATGCATAAACGAATTCTATCCTACAGGTTATCTGTAACACAAAGCAAAATGAGGGGAGACTAAAAACTTAAAAAATATTCTTGATTTCAGTTTCACAGCTCTTTTGAGGCAGTTTTGTTTTAAAAAGGAGGAGGTTATGGAAACGGGTCAAGTTGACTGGGCCTTTTCTGTATATCAAACCACTTTCGTGAAATGTGTGATGACACCCAACGTGAAAGAAAAGGAATGAGCTATGCTAAGGTGGAACACCAATCCAATCGTTGTTAAAAGTGACTGTGTGTTTCACAATTCACGCAACATTACTACAATCCTAATAGTGTTGTTGTACATGAGTGATTGTAAGCTTACAGTGACACGTCATGACAAAATAAATCATTATGGCACCACTATACTTCCATTGTTCTCAATATTTTCTAAATGTATCATGTATCCGTTTCTTATTCTGATCATATTATTCGCTTAACGTACTTTTAGCTGTTATTTCTTCGGCGGACTTTAATGCCGAGGTGACCGCGGTTTTATTTTACCTTCAGTCATCAATCATCAGATCAGTGCGAATCGGTCAGTCCGCGGTTATGTAAGATAGTCTCACTAGCAAACACACAAAACACTGATCACTTCAAAAACGATCAATATTTCCATTTGACACACTTGATAGTCTCACTATAGAGGAAAATCAACCCCGTGTGTAATTATTTTAGGCTGTAGTCAGAGAAATAAAAAGTACTTCTAAAGAACAAATAAGCGGATACCTATGGGACAACAGCTGCTTGCCTTACAAAGCAACTTCTCTATTAGTTATAAACACGTTGACATCGTAACGAATAATTGACACGATATGTTTCGCATTGTTTACTACATCACTGAATGCTGTCAGTGCAACTACTTTTAGTGAGGCTTTCATCTACTTGTATCTACTGTTGTGCCAACGGAATCTTGAAAAATACCTCAGGTTTAAAAAAGTGTGAGGACCTCTCGACAGTGAAGTAACTCAATGGATTTCTGCGTTACTCTCTCAGATTTGGCGAAGCCAAAACCAAAAAAAATGAATTGGCAGAAGTTAATATTCATGGGTTGTTGGATCGGGTCCCAGTGGCTTAATGGTCTACGAACTCGCCTTGAAACCAGAAGGTCCTCAGTTCGGTCCTATGGTGAATGCGTACTGATGAAGAGTCCCAATCTAGGACAATGGAACAGGACAGCTATCCAGTACTCCCAGGTTTTCAATGGTTCTCTAAATGATATCAACTGATCAATAAATCCTCTAGCCAATCAAAAAAACAGAATAAGTTTCTCACTGCCATAGGATTGCAACGAAAATGAGGTTGATTGTGATGCACAAAAAGACGATACCCAAATACAACCACTCTTTATCCCAAGACACCACGTCACGGACAGATCATCTCTCCGCTTTTCGCAACCAATTATAGGGCTACAAAATGTTACGCAAGCCGTTGTGATGGCAGTTGTAAGATATATCTAAGCCAATGAAATCGGAAGCCCTAGGTGAGAATACTTAAAGTAAGGAGACCTCTACCTTAAGGTTATTCACTTGGCGTCGCCATCTTACAGGTGTGGATAGTAAGACGTGAGTAGTTACTGCAGAACCTTAGGCCGGATTGAACAGGTTTTACAATAAGAGAAAATAAGAGTATGTTGTGAGACGCTTTATAGACCAAGTCCACCTAATATGCTTTGTGTACGACTCCCACAATAATGACAACCTTCTCAGGAACACTCAACTCTGCCAAACAGTTCTAAAAAGAAGTTTTGTGCAAAGAATAAAAGCTAACCCTTGTATCAAGAAATAATGATTGTCCCTGCGCTCGAAATGTGTGCGTCGGTGGCGTAGTGGTTAGGACTCTCGCCGACCATGCACATGGTCCAGGGTTCGATCGCCTGCCGACGCACACATGATATCTATGGTCGGCCTGCAAAATTTGGGTTACCGATATCACATGCTGAAAATTCCGTACCTGTACCGAAAATCAAGCTGTAATCAAAAAATCAAAATAAAAAAATAATATGAAAAAGAGAAGACATTCAGCGAAGAGACTCTTTTCGGCGAATTCATTCACATAGCTGTACAATCGCATTTATATATAAATATTTGTGTGTGTGTGTGTGTGTACATGAGGTTTGTCAAGTTTAGATAATTGATTAGTTAATACAAGAATGATGTAGTATAGAGACAAAGTTAATCAGACAGCAACTAAAGTAAGACTGAGTTAAAAAAAAACAACTAGATGACGTAATATAATTGGCTAAAATGTTACAACTTAGGTCAGGATAGCAACAGAGGTAATTACAGGTAGAGATTAAGTAGAAGTGAAATTGAGTGAATAAGTTGGATGACGTAACATGAATGACTAGAAACTGAGCGTTGTTCAGGTCAGTAACAGTGGTAGTGGGGTGTAGAGATTGAATCGGGTGGGGGTAGAGAACAAGAAAGTTGAAATTGTAAAATGTTACAATTGAGAAAGCAAAATAATACTAATGAAGAGACAGAAGAAAAGATTAGGTAGAATTTACATGTCGGCTAATAAGATAGATTACGTCCATTGCAAGTGTAGTGATTGAACGAACTTCTTCTGTATGCAGAGTTCAGGACTTAGCAAGTGGATCGCCATTGCTTCTGCAGTTTGAAGAAGTCTGATTCGTACACCTTTAGGGAGACTACTTCTTACTCTGTAGACGACTTTGAAGTTTGTTTGCGGTGTAGCTTGGTGTCCGGATTCGATCAGATGTTCTAAGATGGAACTGCGGGGGCATCGATTTTCTCCTTTATAAAACCATGCTGGTAAGTGCTCGGTGATACGTTTGGAAAGCGAGCGCTGGGTACGGCCAACATACCTGGCTCCACACGAGCAGGTGAATTGATAAATGCACATTGATGAGGCCAGCAGCGGTAGCTTATCCTTCACGTTCACATGAATCATAGGTTTTGTGGAGAAGGTTAGTCGTAGTTCAGCTGCGAAGAAAGTCTTCTTAAGTGAACGCGACAGTCGATTTTTCAGTGTTTCCGCAGATAGATCTCCATTGAATTGGAGGTTCATGTAGAGTAGTTTTTTCTTGACGCTAAGTATGGGCTGCTTTTCTGGTCTAGGATTCATAGATTTCACAATAAATCTTTCTGGATAGCAGTTCTCGACGAGGATTCTCTTGAGGTTGTCCAGTTCATCTTCTATGGTGTCCGGGGTGCAGATTCTGCGAACTCTGTAGCTGAGTGAACGGATCAGGTTTCGTTTGGTGTATAGTGGTACCCAACTGTGAAAGTTAGTAAGCTGTCCGTTCCACGTCGATTTTCTGTGGATAGATCTTCTCAGTGTTCCATCCTGTTCTCTTCTGGTTAGTTGGACGTCAAGAAAAGATATTGTGGAGTTGGACTCTTTCTCCATCGTGAACTGAATTGCAGGGTGGCAGTTGTTAAACGACTTTAAGATGTCGTCTAGATTTTCTTCGTTGTTGACGATAATGAAGGTGTCGTCGACGTATCTTTTATAGATTTCGAAGGTGTTGATCATTTTCTTCAGGCATGTGTTTTCCAGTTTTGCCATGAAGAAATCTGCAAGCAAAGGGCCTAGTGGTGAGCCCATAGCTATACCATCCTTTTGGCGATATATTTCGTTGTTGAAAGAGAATTGAACATTCAGGGTACACCTCAGTAGGAGTTCTTTAAGATGCTCGGTGGGTATACCGATGTTTATTCCTTTGGAGTGAATAAGTTCGCATATATAGCATATTGTTTCAGTCAGTGGAACGTTTGTGAATAGTGATGTGACATCTAATGAAATCATTGTCTTGTTGGATACGTTAATGTTTTCGATTGAGTCAATAAAGTCGAATGAATCTCGAACTGTGTGGCAGGAAACTTGTTTTCTGATTGGTTCAAGTAGATCTGCTAACCATTGAGCTGTGCGGTGATAGGGTGAATTGGTCATGTCGAGGATCGGTCGAAGAGGGATATCCTTCTTGTGTACTTTCGGGAGTCCGTAAAGTCGTGGTATATTTGAGCCAGACGGTCTAAGGGATTCAAACATTTCGTTGCTGATGAAGGATTCAGTCTTCAACTTACGAAGGGTGTCCGTTAGCTTTTGTTCGGTTTGTTCAGTCATGTTTTTCTCATTGATCGGTTTTGTGAATTTGCATTCATCGGATAGTATAGTCAGCATTTTACTGATATAGTCCTTGCGATTCATGATTACGATTCCTCCGCCTTTATCAGGACGTAATATCATAATCTCTTCGTTTTTCATAAGTTCTTTCAGCTCCAAGCTACACCGCAAACAAACTTCAAAGTCGTCTACAGAGTAAGAAGTAGTCTCCCTAAAGGTGTACGAATCAGACTTCTTCAAACTGCAGAAGCAATGGCGATCCACTTGCTAAGTCCTGAACTCTGCATACAGAAGAAGTTCGTTCAATCACTACACTTGCAATGGACGTAATCTATCTTATTAGCCGACATGTAAATTCTACCTAATCTTTTCTTCTGTCTCTTCATTAGTATTATTTTGCTTTCTCAATTGTAACATTTTACAATTTCAACTTTCTTGTTCTCTACCCCCACCCGATTCAATCTCTACACCCCACTACCACTGTTACTGACCTGAACAACGCTCAGTTTCTAGTCATTCATGTTACGTCATCCAACTTATTCACTCAATTTCACTTCTACTTAATCTCTACCTGTAATTACCTCTGTTGCTATCCTGACCTAAGTTGTAACATTTTAGCCAATTATATTACGTCATCTAGTTGTTTTTTTTTTAACTCAGTCTTACTTTAGTTGCTGTCTGATTAACTTTGTCTCTATACTACATCATTCTTGTATTAACTAATCAATTATCTAAACTTGACAAACCTCATGTACACACACACAC